AAATCGGGTTGGCGGGAGAGCGGTCGAAAATCGGGAGTCTCCCGCCTAAATCGGGAGAGTTGGCAACTCTGAAATTGGGAACTGTGTTTAACGTATCATGTTTAACATCAAATGGAATTTCGCTAAATTCTTTACAACGTAATGGAGGAGTTATTCAAAATAATCTCTTTTCAATCATAATTAGATTTCGAAAGTATCCATTTGCATTTACTGCAGATATCAGAAAATATACAGAATGATTGAGATTAACCTTGAACAGAGATGCTTGCAGTGAATCCTATGGAGAAAAGAAAGTAATGTACTTGTGAAAATCTATGAATCTAATACTGTGGCATATGGTTCAGTTAGTGCTCCATACTTAGCTATGAGAACCGTTGAAACATTAATGGAGGTCAATTGATGAAGGTCCAAGATTTCTATTAGCTGCACCAGTCTTACTTAAAAATTTTTATATAGACAATGTCCTTAGTAGAGTGGAATCTTTGAGTGCAGCAAAGGAGCTTCAATCTCAGTTAACTGCAATACTGAAGTGTGCAGGAATAATGCTGCCTCAATGGTGCAGAAATCATGCTGAACTTGTGGGAGATAACCACACCTATCCTTTTATTATTGAAGAAGAATCTATAACACTCAAAGTGTCCTGGAAGTCTAGGGGAGACTGTTTCAGTTTTAGAGTGAAACTCGATAATGACATACTTATTACCAAATGACAAATATTGTCTACAATTGCAAGACTGTTTGATCCGACCGTATTACTAGAAACAATCATAAGTAAAGCCAAAATATTTCTTCAATGGTTGTGGTTGTTGAAGCTGAAGTGGGATGAACCACTGCCAAAAAAAAAAAGAAGCTGATGAATGAAAAAAAAAGTCAGGTGGATCAGACGAGGTGGAACATCTTGGATTTACTGAAACTTCTAAGGCAGCATATAGCCATATACTGGAAGTCCAGTTCGGAAGATAGAAAAGTGAAGATAAGTCTAGTGACTATAGTAAAATCCAGAATCTCGCTTATAAAATGAGTCACTATTCCAAGACTAGAGCTCTGTGTGGCAGTCTTACTGTAAGGCTAATAGTTAAGAGTTATTTCAGCATTAGATCCCTGTGAATAAGGTATATCTCTGGAGTGACTCGATGATTGTACTTTTGTGGTTGCAAAGGGAGTCTTACCAGTTGAAGACTTTTTCTGCAAATCAAGTGACAACAATTCAACAGTTGACTAATAGTCATCAATGGTGTCATGTGTCATCAAATAAGAATCCGAGTGATCTTATATCACGATGTCTGTACTCAAGTAAACTTTTACAAAATGGTATGTGATGGAAAGGCCCTTTGTTTCTGAGAAACAGCAAGTACCCAAAGAAATAGATTCTGGTGGAAGTCATAGTGAAAGACTTTTCTACATGAATTTAAAACTCTAGTGTAACATTTCTCTTAATGTGAAAGCTAACCCTTCTATTGAGGATTTCTTAAATTTAAGTAAGAGTTACACTAAAATTATTCATGTTTTAAGTTTTATTTTTAGGCTTGTTAACAACTGCACAGGAAAAGACAGTTTTTGTTCCTCTCCAGAGCTCAGAACTGAAATTAGCCGAACTTATACAGATGATTCAAAACGGTAAGTTTAAAAAACAAATCTCAAGCCTTCAAAAAAAAAAAAAAAAAAAAAAGGTAAGATAAATCCAGACAATAAGGTAAGAAATATTTTTCCTTTTTTAGACCAATATGGACTTTTGCGCATTGGAGGCAGATTAGCTAACTGTTAACTCAATTCTGATAGAAGATTTCCAATAATCCTACCAAAAAATCAGAAGTTTACTAAAATAATTATAGCGATGTTTCATAAGAAATACATGTATATTGGTCCTCAAAGCTTACAGTCTGTTGCTAGACATGGTTTTGGCCCTTAAACGGGAACAACATTTGCAGAAAAATAGTATATGAGTGTGTCATATGCTTCAAAGCAAAATCAGTGCCTGGTCAACAACTTATGGGTCAACTCCCTCAAGAAAGAGTTGTATAGACATTAGGTTATTTTGAAGCTGGAGAGACGAAAAATGAGCAATGCCCTCGCTGGGACTCAAACCACAGACCTCTTGTATAAGCCCCGAGCGTGCTGACCACTACACCACGAAGGCATGCTAAGAAGGTGGGAGAAATACCTTATATACAACTCCTTTTAAAGGGCGATTGGGAATTAGGGGACCGAATCGCCAAATCGTAGTTGTGGGAATCACCATCCATCCCTTTTTTTAGTTCGAATGCCACTGTAGAGACATTAGGTTATTTCGAAGCCAGAGAGATGAAAAATGAGCAATGCCTTCGCCGGGACTCGAACCACGGACCTCTCGAATAGGCTTCGAGCGTGCTGCCACTACACCATGAAAGTATGCTAAGAAGGTGAGTGAAATATCTTATAGAGTCAGCCCGAATTTTCTGTTCAACTGCATCGGAGTCAATTCTCTTTTACCTTACTTTATAAACTATCCACATCAGAGAAAGGGTCGCATTAACAAAGTGCATGTGTGCATTTTCCTTTGTTTTGTTACCAAAGCTTGCTATCTTGAATTGGTAATGGACCTTTCTAGTCAAGCATTTATTCCAACCTTCAGTGGTGTAGCGAGTGGGGGCAATGGAGTGTATGATGCCCCGGGCGCCGCTCACAAATGGGCACCAAATGGTCTCCAAACAAGATTTTGCAGAAAATTTAAGTTTTTATTTTGATCGATTTCTGGAAAACGTATTTAAAATTAATAATCATTGTAGTATAATTAATTATTTATTTCCTTGTATTGCCTGATAAAATGTGAAATAAAAAGTGTTTGCAGTACATCAACCAAATATCTCTGTATACAAAACATTCTTTCTGACCACTTTATTTCTCTAAAATAGGGATATATTTTTATTTTTTTAACAAAATGCACGTATAGCTCCCGCTTTTTATTTTAAAACGATAACACGACCTTGTCCCGAATTTCTCAAACACATCCAGTTTTCAGAAACCGATTCCATAGTCTGGAAATTCCATTTTGTGAAACTCATAATGCTTCTGCTACAATGGATTGCGTTTGACTCTCCTGTAAACGATTGATGGCCTTCCTGGCTACCGATTCAACTAAGTCATCTTGTTGCCACATCATATATTCATTGCTACAAAGCATTCAATGCGTGTCAATTGTTTTTAATCTCCTACTACAAAAGAAATGTTGCAGGTCGTTCCTTCTCCTTATCTAAAACGCATAGTTTTCGACATCACAGACTAAATTTGCATATTCCCAACTTTGTAAACATTATAATTTTCCTTTATAATCTCTTCTATTTCCTTTTCTTAAAAAGGTTGTCGATTATATGGTTATTTCATACCAAATCACAATATCCCCTAATTGTTTTAAGCAGTGAATGTGACTGCAAGATGTTCTAAGACACCATTACAGATCTATAGAGAAAATGTTTTTCCAAACCTAAGAGTCTCACTTCAAATACTCCTTACTATTTCATTATCAAATGCTAGCTATGAATGTTCATTCAGCAAATTAAAATAAATTTTGACATATTTACAATCAACGATGGGACAAGATCTCCTAAGTCATCTGGAATTTTTAAATGTGGAAAGAAAAGAATTTGAAAGGATCTACTTTGATGAAGTAATTGATAAATTTGCTTCATCCAAAGCAAGAAAAATGCATACATAGTAATTAATTGTATTAATGTATTATATTATTAATAAATATATCTACTTATCTATAATATAAACTTTTAATTGTTTAAAAATTCTACTTTTTTAAAAACAATTATAAAAATATGTAAAATAAATAATACATTTTAACTAATTCTAGATCATCGTATGTCTGATTTTTCCGCCGACACAGATAAATTTCCGAATCCAATGCTAGTATAGTTAGGTAGTGACTATTCTTAATATATTTTAGAGTATTTTATGGCAAATTCAGCATTTTAATATTATCTGCCTTATTTTTTATTACGAATATATTCCATACATTATATTACTATAAGTATTTTTTGTGGGGGGGGGCACCAAAAAAGGTATTTTGCCCCAGGTGCCAGTTATGCTTCCTACGCTGCCAACCTTAAAGCATTTTACAGCAGGAAAGGCACGTGTGTGCACTTACTTTCAGATAACACGATAAATTTCGTTCGCAGTAATGCAGAATTAAATAAAGTGAACAGACTAGTCAACAAACCAGATGATGAATCAGGCAATTATTTACTGAGTAAGAGTATAATTGGTCTTTCATTCCCCCAATAGCTGTCAATCATGGAGGTCTTTGGGAGGCAGGTGTCAAGTCTGTTAAGTTTCATTTGAAGTGTTGTAGTAAGCAATTTGAAACTAAGCTATGAGGAATTCCTTACAGTAATTGCTCAAATTGAGGGGATCTTAAATTCTCGGTCCTTGCATCCGTTATCATCTTGACTTTGATAACTTGACAACAGGCAACTTTCTGATAGGCAGACCTATCACTGCTATTGCAGAAGTTAATATTTTAAAGCATTAATGATAACAGATTAAAGAGCTGGCAAAATTGACTAATAGTATAGAACTTGCAAACAGTATGGAAGTACTGAAGGATTTTGAAAATAGTTGTTGTCTTTTGTTTCTTAGCTTGGCGAAACATTATAGCCAACAATGGTTGCAGGAGGAGTGTGTGGATAGCAAATCATTAGTCACCAATGACTGTGACTTTTCAGGAGGGGTGTGCAGATAATAAAAAAATACTAGTAATATTGTATAAATCTATGCTTGCGTTTAAATTCAAAGAACATCTAGAATTTTTAGTTCTAGATGTTCAGTACTTCTAGTCAACAATCATTAGTTACACTTGCCACGCTATCAGTATATGATAATATACAGCCAAACTTTGATTAAACAGTGAACTACCAGAAAATTTGTAGAGAATTTCACTCATGGTGGGGAATATAATTTTTATTTAAAAAGTGTTCCTCTCTCTCTTTTACATTAATAAAATTAAATGGTATACTTACATTTGACACTTCTGCATCTGATAATCTTTTCTTCATGGCAGCCAAACATGTAGTGATAATATTTTCCTCTTCCTAGGTGGCATAATCAAGTATCAGTTTTAAAATCTTGCAAAAGTAACATTTATATATACTATAAATAAGTGAAACTGCCATATTAAAACAATGTTTTTATCTTAGCCATTAATAGAAAAAAAATGCAACAACCTGTCAACAAATATCTCTTTGCTGCATTAACTCTTGCCTTTTTTTTTTTTTTTTTCATGTACATGTTTTAGTATATACTAGCCTTTCCATCATTGAAAAATTGCAATGATAAACTGTGCTTATTGCAAATGCATTCATTTTCTCTATGAGATAACACAAGGAAAGTTATCATTACACACTTTCTACAAAGTATATGACTATTTCATATTTTCCGCAGATATAACTAAGACAAGTGATCAAAAATCCAAAAAAATAACTTCGATAATCACAATGACTAGCATTACCCAAAATGCAAGCAAATGCTTGATCTTCCTTTGCATTTACAAGATAATGTGTATCAGATGACTTGCAGCTGCAAGCCCACTGCAGAACTAAATCATAACATTTTCAAATACATTTACTCTCACATGCATGTTGGTAACAATTGATGAAGCTTTTCATTTTTTTTAAAAATGGGTAATTAAATGAAAAAAATGAGACTTTATAAATTGAGTTTTTGGGTGAAAATAATGAAATATTAAACTAATAAATATTGTGAATAATTTTAGGAATGATACAAAGTCAGGAGAATCATGTAAATATGTTTAACGGGACTGCCATAAAAAAATCAAGAATTCCTCACCTAAACTAGAAGACTTAACACATTTGACTATTTGCTGTAAAAAATTAACATAAATCAGATTTTAAAATTGTACACGAGAAATAAATTTGTCATATTACTGAAATATAGAAACTGAAATATTTCTAATATCCTCATTATTAACCTAGATTGTCATTAAATAATACCAATAGAACTTTTATATAATGGATGAAACAGTCATGTCCTATATCTTTGGTTTCAGTTATTTACAGCTTTGCATACACAAAGGTTTAGATACTTATGCATTATCCCAACCACCTTGGTACAGTTTGGAGAATTTTATGGAAGAAAAAGAATTGCTTTTATTACAAAAAAGTTACTTTTCCATTATGCACCTTGCCATGCTTTTTGATGCCTGTGAAAGAAAACCAAACACACCCCAACACTCATTGAAGTGCCATTAGGGCTATCTCTGTGTGTGTATTTGTGCACCGATAAACTATTCTTACAAACTGTTTATATTTGAAAATCCTGCCAAAATATGGAACAGGTGCATAACAGAAAAGTACCTAAAAAAATTATACATTACTTATATTTCAATTATGAATCAATCCCCAAAACAGTCAGTAAACTTAGTTACAAATGGGTTTTTGTTTTCGTTGCGATGGAAATTTTGCAGCAATCACATTTAGAAAAGATTTGAACTATTATTTCTTTAGCGATTTTGCCGCAAATACTGCATTCCCACAGAAATTTCACTTCTGCTTCTTCTATTATGGCAAAATACCAAGCATAAATTTTAAAATCATGTTTCAGGCAAAAAATAAGCATAATTTTTCTCTAAAATCATCTGGAACTTGCAATGCAGCAAAAAAAAAAAAAAAAAAAAAACTTACATGAAAATGATGTTGGCAAATGAATATTTATTATGCATGTGATTACCTGAACTATTGTTACGCACAAGGTTAACAGAGTTTGGTGTATTCTGAAATTTTAGCGATTTCTACTAAGGTGCTTATAATAATACACATGCAACAAAGTTTCATACAATTTAAAATATACCATTTCTTGAAAATAAATATGAAAATACACATTTTTTACTTGAAGATAAGGCTAAAGTATACAAATCCCATATTTTCACTACATAAGAATATATAAGAAATATTACTTGAAATTATCAAAGACTTACTATGCAACTTTTAAAATAAAATCTGTCATAATTATGCATGTACAGTACAAAGTCCGTAATTTAGACTCGTCGGGACTTCGGTGATTCCAGATTATAGATAATCAATTTAAATCTGGTAAGATGGCATGCAGAAATTATACAATTAAAAATATGAAACCGTAATTTATGAAATAAAGAGCAATTATAATCTAAAGGGTATCAAAATTTACAAAAAAAAAAAAAAAAAAAAAAAAAAAAAAAAAAAAAGGCTTAATATTTATTTGTTTACTTTATTAAACATTTTTTTCAATGCAAGTTGTTTAAGTTGCTTCGTTTTTTGTGCTAAACGCGCATGCGTAAACATTAAATGCACATGCGTAACATTAAACTTGCATAAGCAAACGCATTACGAGCATGCATAAACGCATTACGCACATGCGTAAGTTTGTGGCTTTGAGGTCCAGATTATAGATCATTCCAGATAATGGATGTCCAGATTACAGACTTTGTACTGTAATATAAATTGTCATGATCTATGGTACTTGTTAACAGGGCTGTGGAGTCGGCAGGGAAAATGACTGACTCCGACTCCGACCCCTGGAATTTTAATGACTTCCTCATATCTTTATACAGTCAAAAGTCGTTAATCCGGACTCGTCGGGACTTCGGCGATTCCGGATTATAGATCATCAGTTTAAATCTCGTAAGATGGCATGCAGAAATTTTAAAATTAAAAATATGAAACCTTAATTTATGAAATAAAGAACAATTATAATCTAAAGGGTATCAAAATTCACAAAAAAAAAGCTTAATATTTATTTGTTTACTTTATTAAACATATCTTTCAATATAAGTTATTTAAGTTGCTTCGTTTTATGTGCTAATACTTTCTCTTTAATTATATAAACAGACATAACTTCTTGTTCAGTAACAAAGTATCGCTGTTCAAGTCTTGTAATTGCTGTGCCGAGAATACCGACTAACTTGTCAATCGAAATTTTTTCGTTTTCACTAACCTCTTTGTCACATTCTTCATGTCTTTATCCATTTTTTGCAGCAATTCCACTTTTTGTTTGATGGACATCGAAACATACTTTCGTTTTGTACGATCCTTTGGGAGCTCCAGAATCGGAAATTCTATTTGACATAACCGAAAGTTCAAGTTTACTTTTATAAAATTGCTCTTACAGTCTGCAAAAAATAATAAGCTGGATCCAATTCGAAGATTAAAGAACAACGCAAGCATCAACATTAACTGAAATAGATAATTAGATAATTTTAGATTATACCGTCCGTTATACATAAAACGCGCACGCGAAAACGTATTCTGCGCTTGCGCACACGCATATGCGCAGTGGTAAAAGGTCTTAGGTGCACGCGTAAACGCCTATGCGCATGTGTCAAATAGATCATTCCGGATTATGGGTGTCCGAATTAATGACTTTTGATGTATATATAAGCGGCTAAAGTGTGTGTCACCGATAGTTTATTGTTGCCACTTGGAAAAATGAGAGCAGAAATTAACGTTTCAGCGGTTTTTAATTAATATCTCGGCCGATTAAAGTCGTACGAAGATGAGAAAAATATCGATGGATTTGGAGAATGTTTTGGAATCCAAGGATACGCGTCTCTAATTTCAATTCCGTGCCGTTCTTTAGATATTCGAGAAAAAAGAATTTGGCATGTAGCCAAATCTCCCTAATAAGGAAAATCCAAGAAAGAAAGTGGAAAATGTTATTAGTTTTAAATTAATATTTCGGCTAATTCAAGTCCCAAGAAGATGCGAATGGTCAAAATGGCGTGCCATGGACCTGCGGAATCCAATGGTGTGCTTCGCTAAGCCCAGGAGAAAGCCGTTTCAGAGGAGATAATGTTAATTCACCCCATATACATATATATGCGGCTTAAGTGTCTGTTTGTCACCGATAGTTTATTGGTTGTTGCGTAACTGTACTAGCCAATGGGGTGAAGTTGCCACGGCACAGGGTTGCTGTTTCAATTGAGACGTAGACAATTTCCTGTAAAACTTGCCTTTGCTATGACCATCAATAAGTCTCAGGGCCAAATGCTTAAGCATGTTGGCACTTTTTTACCTGAGCCTGTATTTGGATACAGTCAACTTTATGTTGCCTGTTCAAGACTTCGTGAAAGAACGGACGTAAAATTAAAAATAATTGATGGTCCTCTGCAAGGTAAGCTTAAAAATGATGGAAAGAACTACACAAGAAATGTTGTGTACAAACAGATCTTTGACATGTGAATTAACATTTCATTATTTAAGTCACCTTTATTGATTGAGCTAGCGGTGGCTCTTAAGAAACGTACCACCAGTGGTTTCCTGCATTGCAATTTAAGCAATTAAGCAAGTAGAAGGGGGAAACCCCGTGGGGCAGTAAGCAAAGGGGCGTCCTCGCTGCCTGCCCTGTGTAATTCAGTTTAAATTAGTAGGCACTTTTGCACAAATCATTTTAATTAAAATTTATAATATCTAGAACAGCGGTCATTTTTTATGAACACCAGGCTTTCTAGTATATATATATATATATGCAAACATATATCCATGGGTTACAGCTTATTTTTTTAATATAAAAGAAGTAATAAATGCTACAGAAAAAAAATTGATGGCATAGCAAATTATTTATATTAATTAGCATTTATTATGAAATAGAAAAACTGGCATTAGTTATTTCTAAGAAACAGTATAGCTTTGGCCAGATCTTTATTGGAGACACATAGATCCGATTTGATAAACTTCAGAGCTGAGAAGAGTCTTTCCACACTAATTTGAGTAGGAGGAAGAGCTGTTACTGTTAGGGCTACTTCTTTTACTTCTTTTAACTATCAGGATGGATATTTTTTATAAGTTCTAAAAGAGGTGTCTTGCAAGCGCAATCAGATTTCTCTATTTCTTCAAAGGCCGTGTAGAAATCTTGTTTGTATTTTCTCATTTTTATATCTAAAGGCTCTTGGTTCTTTATTTTTATTAGCTTTGACTTAACCTTTATTATCCAAAAATATTTCTTAAAATCTAATTCATCACTAGAAAAGGATGATTGAGACTCAATTGCAATGTCTGCAGTTTGACTGTCCTGATTCGGATTCTCAAATAGTTCTGAGAAT